AAAATGTGTTATCCAAAGGATACTAGGGACAGAAAGAACTCTTGAAATTAGTAATTCGATGGAAGGAGGAAATTTAGAACAGACTGTAGAAAAATAAAAGCCGGTTAGAACTAAATTAATGTTTTCCAAATTTACTTCTCTGTGATAGCTTTCTTTGCTTACGAGCGGGCGTCTGAGCTTTCATAGAATAAAATTAAGAACAGTGTGTTACTAAAACTCCCAACAAATATTAACTTCAAATTGTATTTGAAAAATCTAGTTTCAGCAAAATGAAAAAGAACTCAAATGTGAGCTACTTATGGCGAACGCCAAAAATTAAATTTAGTATCTGGGTAGGTGCAGAAATTTAACTGTTTGAGTAAAGGGATAGCAAAAAATTAAAAGAGTTATACAAAGATACGAAGGCGCACAAGAATAGCGAAATATGCCTTTCAGAAACTAAGCAAAGTATTAAGAGATAGGAAAATTTACTTAGAAACAAAGTTATGCTGAACTATATAATATTTTGATCTCCTATATTACAGATCTCACAGAAGAGACTTGATCGAGTGACTTTTTTTTTACCGCTTATCAACCCTTTAGGCGGGCGGATGGGAGATAGATCCGCACCTTTCCCAAGTGTATATGCACGTAAGTGAATATTATGAACCCGTTTTCCAATTCAATGCTGTTATCCCTTACACCATCCGCACATCCAAACTTTACTAGCGCGTGGTTTTCGCAAGCCGTCACCCATCCAGGTACTGACCAGACTCAATGTTGCTTAACTCTGGTCATCGTACGAAAACCGGTGTGTCAACGTGATATGCTCGTAAACTCAAGAAGAGATTTGAAGAAATCGCGTTCCTTTTTTACAGATGAATGCGAAGAGGATGACTTCAAGAAAATAAGAACAAGAAAAAATGTTGCTAACAGTCAGAAAGAAACTGCTAAATTTTCTGAACACACGAGGAAAGAAAGCTTGGAAAATGTAACACTATCAGGGCATTATAAAAATTAGAGAAACAGTGGTAAACAGCGAGTAACTTGTCCTATAAACAGAGTAACTGTCTCTATGTCCTACGCTACCTATCACACTATTCACTTGGGAAAATCTCCCCAGGTTTCTTGTTTTCCTGTGAACTATGACCTTCAAAAACTTAAATTTAATAGTTGTCATCTGTTTCCTCGAATCCTGTTGTTTTAAAGTTCTCTCTCTCTCTCTCTCTCTCTCTCTCTCTCTCTCGATTTTGTTTTCAATTTTAGTAACCTATTGCATCTTAGTAGATTTATCTCCTTGCTTGGTGTGAAATCATTAAAAATATATAACGATTTTAATGAGAACTATTATTTTTCTTTATGGAAGTATCATTATTCAGTTTTAAAAAAACAAACAATTTCGTTGTTTCTATGATTTTATTAAGTTTGAGAATAAAGCGCAGATGGTTGTCAAAGTTTTGCCACCCAAAACATTATTTATACAACGGAATATGTAGACATTGATAGACTAAAAGATATATGAAAGGCATGTGACTAGACAAAGATCTAAACAACCATATACACATACACACGTGTGTGCGTGTGTGTATGTGTGTGCGTGTGTGTATGTGTGTGCGTGTTATTTACTGAAACAGCTTTGTGTACAATTAGTTCGTTTTCAACTGACAAAACAGAAAGCCCTCAACCACACAGAAATTTTAGCTCACCGACAATCGTCCTACTAATAAACTATGTCAGTAACAAACAAACACACACAGCCACACATGGTATTTTTTAACCCATAAAAATACAAATTGAAAAAAATTGTTACCCTTGTAAGAAAATAATTTCGGGAATACAGTGTAACCCGGATATAAGAGAGTTGTCGGGACCGGAGAAGAAGTCTCTTATATCCGGGTTTCTCTTATATCCGGGTTTTGTCTATTTTATATACATTAACTCAGGCTCTAATTTGGGACCAGAGAAAATCTCTCTTATATCCGGGTTTCTCTTATATCCGGGTTACACTGTATAACATAACTGTAATATACATAGGTGGACAGTAGTTCGAGCCCTTAATTTGTCGCTCAGCGATCAAAGGTAATTTTGAATATTGGGCTGAAAAAATATGGGTTTGAAAGAATTTTTTTTTTGTTCTTTTGTTGTTTTTTTTTAAATATATTTGAAAAATATCGTGTTATTTTAAATGTGTCACACATAAAAAAGAAAAATCAGTTTCATAAATTGTTGACTCTTCAAATAAGATCCATTTTTAAAGAGAAAATTATTTTCAAAGATATTCTAGATAAGTCAGTCCCGTGATCGAAATAATTATTCCCCGAAATTTGGTAACTTATTTCAGATTCAAAAAACAGTTTCTTTTCCAAAAGGTGGTGTGACCAGATTATACACCCCTTGCTCTTGTTTAACCTTTTCTATTACTAAAGAAATATCGAGCAACTCAATAAGTAGCCTTGTGTCTTACTAAACTAAATTTAGTAAATATAGTAATGTATTTAAATAACAACGAGCACGGTGGAGAAATGAATCGTGTTCGAATTGAGAAATCGGAGGGCAGAGTTCGAATTCCAGTCGAGGTCATTGCATTCACTTATGAGAAAGTTAGGAATCCATCTCTTCTATTCTTCACCTATAAAACCCAGTCTGTCTTGTTACCTATCCATCTATGTAGTGCGTTCATCCGGTGCATAATGATTTAGGAGTTGTTTATACAATAAGTATTTTTATTTTAACTTTTTCAAACAGACAATGTCTTTTAATTAAAATATTTTTTAAATTAAAGACAGACACAAAGAGATCCCAGTTTGCTGTTTCGTCTAATTCTTTGTAGAGTAATTATTTATATTTCAGCGTTCTTTAAATAAACAATATTTTAAATATTAAAAAAATATTTTTAAGTTAATTTGGTTTTAAAAATATTTTAAGTAAATAAGATTTAAAATATTTGTTGTTTATACAGTAAGTATTTTTATTTTAACTTTCTTCAAACAAACAATGTTTTTAGTTAAAATATTTTTTTAAAAATTAAAGACAGGTGCAAAGAGATCCCAGTTTGCTGTTCCGTTCATTTGTATGTAGAGTAATTATATTTCAGCTTTCTTTAAATAAAAAAAAAATGTTTTAAATGTTTAAAAATATCATTTGTCACATTTAAAAAAATATTTTAAGATAATCTGATTTAAAGTTCAAGTTCATACCGGTAGTTCTATTTCTATTAAAAGCTTTAAACAATCAGTAAAGCGTTACAGGAACTTGTATACCAGGACAATGATGATACGAATGAATGAAATATTTAACTGAATCATAATAAAATTGACTTCATTTCAATGGTATGTTGAAATCAACTTCCATCTTTTATAACCTGAATCGTCAGTAACCCAGTGAGTCATGGGTAGTCTAGTAGCTGGATAAAACGCAGGACAGACTGGATTTTATAAGCTTTGAATTCATACCAGCCTGGAGAGGGTTGGGTTCCATCAGGCTCTATTGCTCCTGCGGCTGTAGTGCATGTGTGACCCCTAATAGGTTACGAGACTTGTGATTGTGATTTCGTGCTAGAGAATCACAAATGACTTTAGCAAATAACACAAACCACGTCACTTGAGGATTATCAACAAGGGCAGCATCACATGTAACTCGAAGAGAAAATAATAGTTGACGTTCTACATTCAAAGAAAACCTAAGGAAGGAAACTCCCACCCGTACTAGAAAGAACAATAATAATTAATGGACTTGAGAAAGAGATTTTCATGAAATCATGCTTTAATAAAAAATATTTTAAAAATTTCAGCATATAGCTGCCCTCGACTCTCGGCTAATGAATACCGAATGTTTCCTCATAAAAATAACGGTTAATATTACCATAATCTTTTTTTCAGGTAATTTTTTTATTATTATTTCTAGTAATAAAACAAGATTGTAAGAACAAACTTCGCTGAAAACATTTGTGAGAGTAAAATCTTTTTTGCTGCCATTTTCTCTCCGAATGAGATGAACTTGACTCAGTATTTTCCTTTTATAGCACCTATATTTCCTAGTAAAAAAATTATGCAAGGAGATATAAGTTGGTTCTTCTGTCCTAAGATAATGTTATATCAAGACCTATGCGATCGCTCAAACAACATCTCTCCTTTATTCATGCACATTCGTACCAAAAAGATGTTTAATAGTTTATGATAACGTTTCTTTTTTATATCTTGAGTTATTTGTAAAATTGTTTCCCCATCTGCACACTTTCATTTTATATACAGATAGATGGATATGATAGATATGAACAGAGAGAGAGAGAGATGAGCAGACTGAAACATAGAGATAGATTGCTCATCTCTATCTATCTCTCAGACTAAGAGACAGAGATACATAGAGAGATAAATAGATATGAGCAGATTAAGAAACAGATCGATAGATATGAGCAGACTAAGAGATAGATAGATACATAGATAGGTAAAGATAGATAGATATGAGAAGAATAATAGATAGATAGATAGATAGATAGATAGATAGATAGATAGATATGAGCAGACTAAGAGGTAGATAGATACATAGATAGGTAAAGATAGATAAATATGAGAAGAATAATAGATAGATAGATAGATAGATAGATAGATAGATAGATATAGATAAGATAGATAGATATAGATAGCAGATAGATGATAGATGTAGACTAAGATAGATAGATAGATATGAGCAGACTAAGAGATAGATAGATAGATAGATATGAGCAGACTAAGAGATAGATAGATAGATAGATAGATAGATAGATAGGTAGATAGATAGATAGATATGAGCAGACTAAGAGATAGATAGATAGATAGATATGAGCAGACTAAGAGATAGATAGATAGATAGATAGATAGATAGATATGAGCAGACTAAGAGATAGATATATAGATAGATAGATAGATAGATAGATAGATAGATAGATAGATATGAGCAGACTAAGAGATAGATAGATAGATAGATAGATAGATAGATAGATAGATAGATAGATAGATATGAAGTAAGAGACAGATATGTACCGA